TATAAAATCCACTCAAAATGATGACTCTGCAATACAACCATAGGACCACAGGGGTGCCTCTTAACCGATCCCACATTAATGTCAGAGTCTTGAGAGAGAAAATTTTTAGTTCACTGTGTCACTCTTGGGTTACAGTATTATTTGAAATGTGGTTCACATGTATTGTATATAAATATTGATGTGAGCGGGATCTTTCGCCTAGCTCCATGATAATAGACACAAAATACAGCAATAAGTTACAGTGATGTTTGTTTTATTAGATTTCCTCCTTATAAACAGCAATGACCTTCAGTATTTTTACACAAAATAAAGGCAGGGGTGGTACTGTACTTTATTAATTGTGTTTAAGATTAAGTGTCATAAAAGTAATAACTCATGTTGGAGTAACTTTCCCAGTGTGGGAGTCATTACCTGACACAAGCTAATAGAACAGTACCCAAATTATACTGCGAGCTCTGAAACTCTGAGAATTGGTCAAGTAATTCCTGCCTCTTTCACAGAAAATCAAAACACTAAATCTTAAGGCACGTGTTCACTTGAGAGTAAAATACCGTTGAGATTGCTGTCAACAGTGCTCCTATCAAGTGGACATGGTTCTTAGAGTAACTGTCAGATAGTTCATGTTTTACTGTCGGACAGCTACTGTCTGCAACTTCGCTCTCATGTGGACACGTTCTAGCCCGTAACTCTCAGTTATACGAACCAAGTATGCAGTATGACAATGCTCTCTCGAAAGGTGAAGCATGGCTCTCTGGACTCAGGATAAAACTTTTGAATTAATACCCCTGTATGAAGAGAATCCTATTCTGTGGGATTCCAAGAGGGAGGACTACTGCAACAGAAAAAAGAAATCCAAAATCATATCTGACATAAGCAGGAAAATTTATGTTATGGAGTCAGAAATTCTTCAATAACACCACAATTTAAGAAACCAGGTATGGTTTTTGTACTTATACCCGAACTGCTGACATGCACATAAAATTACGGAATTGCAGAGCATCTTCCGACTGTTATTCTTTCACAAGCCTATTATTAGCACCCAATTCAACTTGTTGTTCCACCTGCTGCTTTACCCAACACTTTCTTTTCTGTTTTTGCTTTCTTTTCTTTTCTAACATCAGCGCGACTATAACTGTTGCAGCAAAATTCCTGTCTCGTCTTCTAGCCATTGTTACCGACTGACTGAGAGTCACTATAGTGTGTAGCTCTAGTTCGGGTGGACACACCACTGAGAGTTTTTCAGACAGCTACTGTCGGAAAAACTCTCAAAAGATGTAACTGGCAGAAATTTGCTCTTGTGTAGGCACACACAAGAGAGAAGTATCAACAGTAACTATTGAGAGTCTACTCTCAAAAGGACATGTGCCTTTAGTCATATCAACCTTCATAAAGAGGCATTGCTGTTGACTATATTCACTGTATTATCATTACAGTTGATCTGGCACCCAATTTCAAATACAGCACATTAGTACTGCTGCATCTTAACTTTTGGTGACCACAGATTGAGGAATAAACTTTGAGTGACCTTAGCTTGCCTTTTACTTTTTGTCACAAAGTAATTGCCCTCTCACAGACAACATTATAACGTAACATTGTGTGATTTTATACAGACACAGGGCCAAATTCATCTTCAGTGCTATAAAATAACAACATTAATATGGTACAATACAGTACCTGTAGTACCAATATTGTATGAGGACACCCTGTGCTGTATACTGATGAAACAAATACTGTATTACAGTATTCAATGACTCTTTAAATGCAACCACTGGATAATATGTATTGGCTGTCAGGTACTGCTGTATGTTTGTTTGAAGTTTAGGGATGTAAATTCTTTACAGTAATAGGAATTATTATGAAGTAAGAATAGCATAATTCAAACTACAAAATGTTATATATCAAATTCAAAACCTTCTCAGAATATCATATTTTTGCTAAGTACAGTAATATGAAATACGATATAATCAAATAATTGATACCATATCAAAATACTGTACAGGTACTGTACAGTATGTGTAGTCTCACATCTCGGTCGTTGGTGACCAGATGATTCACATGGCACAAAATAAAACCTCACCAAGAGTGGTGTTGGTGTTTACTTAGTTCGGTTTTTGTGCTAACTATTGGGCAGTACAGTACAGTACTGTACTGTACAGTATACTGTACTGATTTAAATTTCATTTGCTCTTTCTGTAGTATAATATGTTCTTGGAACACAAGTGAGACATACAGTAGTTTAATATTTCTTTATAAGTCAACACCCAGAAATTAAGGACAGGGTGATAATAATAATAATAATAATAATAATAATAATAATAATAATAATAATAATAATAATAATAATAATAATGCAGTAATAATATAGTGAGAAAGGGATTATAAGATTGAAAAATAAAATAAATCTATTAGGGTGGACTTTACTCAAGCTATGCTCCTAAATGTGCACACAAGAGAAATGTGCACACAAGAGGTTGCATCAGCTGAAAGGTAAGGATGGGTCGATCAAAATAAGAAAATAAATTTAAATGTTATGGCTGGTATCAGATACTACAAAGTATCATACCACATGTTTTGCATATCTAATAAATATAGTGAGCTTGTTTGTTAACCTAAAAATGTTGTCAGTGTTATGTTACCAAATATACCCAGTTTTGTACAGTACTGTATTAAGTTACTGAAAAAATTGAAAAAAATGTCAAAAACAACTGGCTGTTATAGATTTATTTATCAATTAAAGGAAACAAACAAGACCAGTATATTTAACTTATAACTAAAAAGCACCTATCGTGTGACTTTCAATAATTTCATCACTATGTGTAAAGTACCGTACTTCATATCTCTACACTACTAATGATCAAGTCTCTGGTTGAAAGAAGTAGCAAGATGTGTTTCTTTCTTTTGACACATTAATTGGACATTATTTTCTTTACAAATTATTTTATATATGAGATATCAACATTTCACTAATCTCAATCTATCTAATTATTCTTATCAGTTTATATTCAGCGACCACTTTTTTTGGTGCTAATATAGCATGCAGTCTACATGATATTTAGGTTAGGTTAGACTAAAGATGTCTTTGTAGTCCACACACTATATTAGCACCTTTTTTTCATAAATGTTTCTCACTTTCTTACAGTAAATACCGTATATACTGAGTCTATAACCCCCCCTCGTTTATAGGTTGACCATGATTTTTTGACTAAGAAATCGTTAATTTATGATATTCCTCATTTATAGGTCGACTACGTTTTTGAGGGTAATGGAACAACAAAACCTTCAGTAAAAACGCTCTACGTCCTATAAACTGAAGATCCCGTGCCGAAACTCGCAGTGCGAGGCAAATTGTTTACCATTTTATTATTACGACCGACACTTTACACCACACACTGAAACGGAGTTTCAACAAAATATTGAATATTTCCATTCAAGTCAATTTGGAGAATATTATTGTAATACAACAGTTTTTAACTAAACCATTCAGCGATTACGGTAACATCTTTTGAGCGGAAGAAAGCGAAAGTCATTGTTTTCGATGCGATTTTATCCACTTTCCACTGTATCATTACATAATTTCAGCAAAAATATTACATTTCGTGAATGCATTATATCAAGCACAGTATGAATAGAATATCATTGTAATATAACAGAATTTTAACCGAAAACTATTATAAAAACGAGTAACATCTCAAGAACATGGAAGCTTAGGTAAAGTCTTTTGTTTTGGTCATGTATTTTTATCCTATTTTACATTGAAATACATCACGTTTCAGCAAAACTACTATTTATTTCTGAGAATATATTCATTCAGGCGCAGGTTAGGTAAAATATCGTGTGATGTAATAGTTTTAACTGAAAGCGATTAGAAAACACGTAGCCTCTAGCCCTGTTCAAGGAGAGGACTGGGAGAAGCTGTTTGGTGCTGCAGGCGATGACAAGGAAAATGATTTGGATGGATTTTAATGAAAATATTCGAAATATGGTATGTAGTATTTATTCAAGTCAATTAGGATAGAATATTATTGTAATACAACAGTTTTTAACTGAAAACCAATCAGCGATTACGGTAACATCTTTTGAACGAAAAAGCAAAAGTCATTGTTTTCGTCGATTTTATCCCACTTTCCACTGTAATATGTCCGTCATTTCAGCAAAAATATTACATTTCCGTGAATGCATTATATCAAGCACAGTATGAATATAATACCATTGTAATATAGCAATATTTTAACAAAACTATAAAAAAAGCAGTAACTTCTCTTGAACATCGGGAGGTTAGGTAAAATCTTATGTTTCTTCATGTATTTTATCCTATTTGACATTAAAATACATCACGTTTCAGCAAAACTACTATTTATTTTCAGTATATATTCATTCAGGCACAGTTAAGGTAAAATATACATGTGATGTAACAGTTTTTAACTGAAAACAATTCGAAAAACCGTGTACCGTCTAGCTGATACACTCAACAGCTGGTGATGCGTGATCGTCATTGTAAACAATAGGAGGTTGAAGTAGATTACGGGTATTATATTAAGTGTGAAAAATGAAAAGGTTTTTATTACCGGTATTTTTGTAGATCAATGAGAACTGTGATACCGTATATGATAAGATAAGTTAGCCTGTGCTAAGAACTTCAACATAGACTACTGAAAGCCCATTTGTAAGGTAATTTAGCCTATTGTAAGTTGGTGAGCTTCATTTGCTGAAGGAACTGCATAACTTTTCATTACTAATTGGTACATATTTTCGTTACCATTGTTTACTGGCAGTAAATGGTAAATATTTTTCATGTCTGAAGCTAAAAGTTGCTCCTCGCCCTTCCCATCATGCACGGGTTCAACCTAACAAAACTATTACGCTTGTATAGGACGACCCCCAATTTTTGGCCTAAAAATTTGGTCCTAAAAACTCGAACTATACACGATATATATACGGTATTCACAGAACATGACTTAATAATAATAGTAAGGAAGATGTAAAACTCACAACACAAATTCTGAAGAGATCTGTCATTTATATTTCCAGTCTCAAAAGCAGTCTTAATAATCACATACCAAAAACCTGGTGTACCAGACCATCAGCAACACAGTAAATTCGTTCTCACACTTCATGTAAACACTGGAAGCAAGAAATAAATCACAGATTTCACAACTTCACCAACATCTAATACACAGTAAAGAATTCACTAAACCTCATATCTCTGTCAGCCATTAATACTTTGGAATGTTTGTCATTTCATTGGCGAAATTGTCTTAGAATTCATCTCCTTTGTAGTCCCCACACCAAGGAAAGTCTGATGGGACTGAAGGGATATCATCGTCGTCTCCAACTTTGAAGACTAATTCCATGCCAGCCACAGAATGGAATATGAGGTGGCAGTGAAGCAACCAGTATCCTGCAGCACACAGATGTAAAAAAATTAATATTAGTTAAGAAACAAAAGAATACATCACTGACAAGAGAGATTGCAATACAGTATATAATTCATTCTTAAAGGAAGAGAAAAAGAGGCCACTGTACATGTAATAATTAATTATTTCACACACACATATACAATTACCAAATAATATACAGTTTGGGCCCACATTCATAAACACTAGTGTGACTCGGGTGTCTGTCAATGGTATGGAAAGACCTGTACATTGACTCAAGTGCAAATGAAAGATTTATCTGTTGGTATTATGCATTGAATGTGTTAAACGCATATACAGTACTATACTGTATAATAAATGAGAAAGTAAGAGCCAGGAGTAAATTTTAGAGAAACAAATCAAACCTTGACAAAGTACGGTAAATAGAGTAGTTATGAGTTCTCATACCTGGATTAGAAGCACGGAACCTGACAATTGAATAGCCTCCATCAGGTATCGTTACTGTATCCTTGTATACTGGATGGTCAAAGTTCCTATGCAGCTGACCAGTGCGATCCATCTCAATCACCTGACAAACGATACAATAATACAAATATTATGACGATCATCAGTTTTTCTCTTTATGGGTTGTATAATTTTTTCTCGTTTATTTCATAAAATAAAATATCTGTATCTCAGTTATAATGACCCAACACCAGCACTGACCTGATCTCGTGTGATGGAAGCATCAACCACATCATTGGGCCGGTCTTGACCCAGTACCCAGAAGGATTGCCCGTGGAGGTGAATAGGATGGTTCTCATCACCAAATTGACCTACAAGAACAATGTTTTTTATTGGAGTTGATTAAAATGTTATAAATGTCTGATTTCTAATCAGTACAACATGCTGACAACTTTTATGCATAAAGGAGAGTAATGTTAATGGAAAAGTGCTGTACTGTACTATACCTGTACCTGAATATTCCTTCTTCTTCCCACTTGGGGTACTCTCCTGGGAAAACAAAAGCCAACCTAAATGCTTTCTCTGAAATAACCCAAGCCAATACAACCAATTATCAGGCCGCCTGAAAAGTTATGTTTGTTGTACTCCTAAAAATTATACCCTGTATACAGTATTGCAGGTATGTAAAGGCCCAATAAATATAAAGGTGTGAATAACAGCAAGTGTCACAATCACATCTGGAGTAGCACTTACTGTATCTCAAATGCTACCCAAAACAGTTAATTCATCTTAGAAACCTTAGACCAGCCTCTGCCTGCTGGAAGAGAAAATAGACTTAATAATATTTACTGTATAAATGTTGAACAGAGATAGGACAAACAACACCGGATATTGTGGCATCAATATCATGTACCTCCTCATCAGCTGGTGGTACTCTTACAAAACAAAGTAAAAGCAGGTAAAACCAAATCCTCTTACTGTCTATGCAACATAACAACATAAGAAAATAAGGAGTCTGCAATAGGCTGATTGGCCTGTGCATGGCAGCTCCTGTCAAAAGTTACTACCACTCTCTATCATCCATGAGAGCACTTACTACAAAGTTGCTAAGCTTGTTCCAACAGTCCACCACCCTATTTGTGAACCAGTTCCTTCCTATCTCCCTCCTAAACATCTAGTACTACATAACCCAGCACAACAGTACATGTGAGGCCAGACAATTAGTTTCTTTAAAATACTGTATAGAGGTTGAGTCAGGTTACCCTATAACCAAGTCATTCAAATCAAGAGGTTGTGTATTTCTACTACAGCTTCATTAAGACTTGTTATCTCATTTCCTCTGGTGGCTGCTGTGGCTTTTAATACTGTACAGTACCTCTTTTTACTACAGCTATGGTTGCTACAGGGTTGATAGTTATTCATTGAATTAAGTCCCATCTGCCAATTTTAGTACTAAATTTAGTACTAAATTTAGTACTACAGTACTAAATATATACTGTACAGTAGTGAAAAATTTATGTAAAGACTAACCTTCATCAATCAAAACCATCTCAACAGTTGATCCAAGTGGAATTTTGTACATGTGGAGACACTCGCAATATTCATCTTGGCAATTCTTAGTACTGGGATGTGACTCAGCATTGCACACTCGTTCTCTTTTCCCACCACCAAGGATTAAAGGAGTCGCTGGAGCCACATAGGAGAGGTTGTTGATCTGTGGCGTTGGGATCTGTTGGTCTTCCATCACTACAAATAAATAGAATGACATGAAAGTGAATTGGGTATTTCATGGGGTTCACCTTAATCATGATTTAGAAATTACTGTAAATAAGAATTTGATAGAAAGGGGAAAATTAGCAACCATCTTCATTAACAACAAGCATCTTCTGTACAATAAATTCCTGACATATACTGTACTTTACCAGATATTACATTAATCAATTTAATCCTTTGTAGTATATTTTGATCACTGTACAATTAAATCTTAATAGAATATTTCAATCACATTTCCTTTATATTTTTCCAATCAAATATTTTCAGGTTTTCTCTGTAGACCTGACGAGGAGAGTAGCAGCTGAATACCATTTGACCCTTCATAAAAACTATTACAGTAATATACTTGCAATAAGACTATATAAAATAGTTTTCACTCACTTGAATGAAAATCGTAGTACATTCTGGAGTAGAAGTGAGGATTGTGTATCCTGTTCATCTCAAATGCTAAGTAGAAGGTGAAGTTAGCCTCTTCTTTCCTCAAATCTCGTGGCAAAGGCTCTGGGGACCTCAGGTCGGCAACACATATAAGATCATTATAACAGGCACTGTTAATGCTGTTAACTTGCTGGAAGAAGACAAGATTATTTTACACTAGTATTAGATCTGAGAATTCAAAGGAGAATGTATTTATTTATGGTTGGAGAAGAAAAAAGGATAAAGAGAATAAAAAATGTACCAGTATCTCAAAAAAAGAACTGTCCACACTGTGTGAAACATTATGAGACCACGGATACATTTACTTTGGCATACTGTATAGTTTAACATAAGTAATGCAAAGTGTTTTTATTTTGGCGTAATTAATATGATGTTCGGTTACCAAATGTAGTATGAACAGTATGTCACAGAGCCATGCATACCAGCCCTCCTGGGACATCACGAGTTGCCTGTAGCATTTCAGAAGCCATCAGACCCATCCAGGCAGATACAGTACTTCTTTGAGATACTGCTTTGCTAACTATTTCACAAAACATCTGCTATCACATACAGTACAATACCCGTATTGTTTTCAAGAAAGCAGCCACAAGGAATGCTAATGCTGCTGACAAGGAACCTGTGGCAGGACCATCAACCAGCAATGTGTCATGAAAGAATATTCAAAGTGGGTATTTGCACCCGATAGTACAAATAACGATTTTGGTATTTGCACCCGATTTTCACGCTGACAAAGATCTCCTTGACGTTGAGAATCGTATGGAAATAATTCAACCATTGTTGAACCCAAGACTTCAACACCATAATCAAATATTATACGAATTTTGCACTGACAAAACTCGGGGGCAGATAGCAGTTTCACTATCTCTTCAACAAACTACTAATAGGTAAGGATAGGTAGGTTCCTCTGGTTAGGTTGGTTAGTTACCAGATATCAAAGTACCTGTAAGTTCTTTATGCTTAATAAGGCAGGGGTCTGGAGAGAGCTAAGGAGTTAGGTAAGGTTAGGTTTCTGTACCAGATATCAAAGTACCTGTAAGTTATTTATGCTTAATATGGCGGTGGATACGGCTGGCTAGGGAGTTAGGTTAGGTTAAGTTCTGTACCAGATGTCAAAGTATACAATAATAAAGTAGATAATGCATGAGATGATTTCAATTTTCACAATTCCATTGTAAACATCAATGATGAATACAGAAAAATGCAGTAATTTGCACCCAAATTTCACAATGACACACTTCGGGTGTAGATAACAGTTTCAGTATCTGCACTCGATGCCCTTGATGACGAGGTTCAGGTACGAATAACAGTTTTATTATTTGCATTATCGGGCGCAAATACCATCAGCTATAATTATTTCAAGAGCTTTGTGAGAATAATAATAAAATTTCATTAATACAAATACTATAAATATAAATAAAGGTAATCAACTATTGAGATATATCATCAGTCAGGCAGCACAAAGTCTAGCAACTCGCAAGAAGCTGCTGGCACTGGGACATTAACAAACCCACATAAGTCCTTTTAGGGAACTCTCAAGTTCTAAAGGGATTGTATTCAATGTATTTTTATTTTAAAGTATAAATATAATGTAATTTTCTTTATTCAGTTATTTAAGAAGTAAAACAAATGATCAACTCAGTCTGTGTGAGTGTCTGGAACCAAAACTTGACTTAGTCTTTTGGTATGCCAAGTTATTTAGGGAAATTAATTACCAAGCTGCAGACAGATCTCTATTAGCTTCAAGAATGGTCGAAGAACTGGCTGCTAAGATTCGATGTCACAAAATGTAAGAGGGTGCACCTGGGTAAGGAGGAGTATCATATGACTCAAAGGGACAAAGAAACTGCATTAATTGAGACTGAATGAGAAAAGGACCTGGGTGTGTATGTTGACAATGAACCGAAGTTCTCGGGCCATTGCGAGAAGAAGGTGAATCAAGCAACTAAATTAATAGGTCTTATAAGAAGATCGTTCAGATATCTAGATGGTATGTCCCTTGTAATGATCTTCAAGAGTGAGTTGCTTCTCTGCCTAGAGTACTGTTACCCCGCCTAGTCACTAAGATATGCTAGGGACTGTCAGTTGATTGAAAATGTCCAAAGGAGGGCCACCAGACTGGTTCCTGCACTTCGGCACCTCAGCTACCCAGAGAAATTAGACCACCTGCAATTGCCTAGCTTATGCTACAGATGGGCAAGGGGGGACCTAATTGAGGTTTACTATAAACATCTCAAAGGGCACTACTCAGTCGAGTGTCCATACCTGGATCTGGCGACACCCGCCCCACAAGGGGTCACAGCTCAAGGTTGAAGAAGCCGCAAGTCCAGAAAACTTTGAGGGCAAACTTTTTCGAAGTGAGAGTTGTGAACTCTTGGAACAATCTGTCAGAGAGTATTGTGATGGCACTGAGTGTGAGTTGTTTCAAGACCAGACTTGACCAGCACTGGAGCAGGTTCAGATACATTCAAGAGCCAGTGCATGCCCAGTACTTGCCAACAGTGCATAACAGAGATGTGACCGACCGCCCAAGCGGCTGATGAGCCGATCGGTGGTGAAGAGGATAAAAGTAAAAAGTAAAAGTATGCCTGGGGTAACAGACAGATGACCTAGGACCCAGGAAACTGGAAAATCCACCGAATCAGTTTTGTCTCAGTCCCAAGGGTTCTGGATTTAAGGTTCTGTACCTGGGGTGTCTGAAAGACATCATGAGCTACATCCATTTAAGACGGAACTTCTAAGCTGTACTCTTGACACCAATGTGATAACTGCCTAGAGGGTGAGATGCTTCACCTTCATGAGCCAAACTGCTGACATTTCATAGTCGATTTAGTTTTTTGTTTTCAATCATACTGTAATGACCACGGTCATACACGTCAGTTAACGTAAGATCAGACGATTCATATTTCCCTCAATAGCCCACAAAACACGTAGCTATGCCTACTTTATTGAGTCTCCCATCTGAGGCGTCCATTTTCTCATCGCTCCCAAGCGTGGGTGCCGTCCATTTTCTCTGACTTCCTGAAACCAACCTCTCTATAAAGTGAATTTGAATGTGAGAGAGAACACCATTGTTTTGAGTCAACTTAGATATGTCTGATTACAGATAAAGCATTCAAGATCCTTTGTGAGTGATGTTGAAAACTTCAACTGTCTTTATTGTTAGTAACACTTGTCAAGTAAGTGAATGTCGAGTCTGCCAGAATGAGTGGCATCCCGTGATATCGTCCCTGGGGATAGCCATGAATTTCCAATTGCTACTGAGGTTAGATTATTTTGATGCCCAAACATCAGAGAATCAGATGTTTGTAGTTTAGTTAGTGTCAGTTGTCTATTTAAGAAAGTCATTAATCTCCTGAACTATTCTCTCAACCTGTATAATCTCCAAAGTCTAACGTATCCCCGTGAGTAGTTCCTTGTCTAGAAATCCCACTGATGTTGTGAGAATGACGTTAACAGTGTCTGTATTTGACGTCCATTTCACTTTTTCCTGGCAAGCTCAATCTCTGATTAGATTATAAAAATAGATGTAAGAAATTCACCTGACTCATGGCATTGATTTTCATAGTAAAATGTACAGCAACTTTAGTTGAATGTAATTTCTGTCATTGCATAATTAGCCTTTCTGGCATGTGTAGCGCACAGGCCTGAGTTGCCAGTTAGCCGTATATAAACTCGTGCCCAAGGAGCAGCGTCACATCTCTGACGCTGTACCATCATATCTCAGGCACTGTCTGTGTTGCCACCACTACCGAGGTTCGGTAGCCGCCTATGGGTAAGATGGTCGTTGAAGAATGTCTTTAATATGACAAGATTAGAATCTGAGGACAGGAACACCCAGGGAACACTGTGCTAAGATCCTGCAGCAAGTCTACCCCGGGCGCTGCTGGCGAGCGAGCTTCGGCTGTTGTGTAGTAAACAACCCCCGCACCCAGTGGGCTTAGTATTGTCTGGTTCATTGATCTTGATTATATGTACAGAGCAGTGTTGGTATCCATGATTGGGTATAATTAGCAGAAATTTATTTATCCCATGTTGAGTATTGACCCATAAATATTGATATGACCAGTTTGTTATGAGTTGTGAGTACATACTTCATATGTACTACCAACTGAGTTCTAGTTAAAGTGCCATGTTGTTCATTCCGAAATAACATGATGTGCTAAATAATGTCTTAATTTGGGATATTGTCAAGTGTGTCACATAACCATCTGTATTGACAATGGAATAATATAACAGTTGATTAATGATGTAATAAGCAATTGAAGATCTATTTTATTAATTGTAAAGTAAGACCTAAGTGGTCCAGTCTTGTCTGAGTGTACTTATTTAACATCTTGTTCACTCCTTATGTGAATAAATAAATATTGAATTAGTAAACTACGAGTATCACCACTCTATTCCTTCTACCCGTTGGTTCTCAGAAAATAACTATTGTAACTCACGTGCCTAGAAGCTCGCTAGCATGCTACATAACAGTTCAATGAGATATGTTATATTCTAATAAAAGTCTGGGTGGTGGCAGGCCACCGTTGTAAGTAATAAGTGTTATAGTAAGAATGACATGGTTTCCCAGATTAATCCATGGTATTGAATAGCCACTCCTCGACTTACAACGGGGTTAGGGACCCAAATCCAGGTCGTAAGTCGTATTGGTGGTAAGTCGAAAATGGAAAGATAATGCATAGAAAATCTAAAATGGGTCTCTTTTTCTTGTCAGCACAATAAAACTCTCACTTTTAAGCATGCCAGCCATTTTAAATGGAATTACAAAGGAAAATTTTGTCAGTACACAGCACAATCACTAACATCGGGACTCGAAAATACGTAATTTGAAAAATTTTTGGTACGACTAGGGCGGTCGTATGTCCGGGTGGTCATAAGTCGAGTAGGTCGTAAGTCGAGGAGTAGCTGTATAATTAAAGCAGGATATAATTGAGCGAAAGTAAGGACATAAAATTCAGAAAATACAATAATATATGACAGAAGGAATAAAGTATAGAAAAGAAGATTAATGGAAAATACACTACAAATATGAAGTAAGTATAGAAGTAGTGAAGAATAAAGAGAAGAAATATGAAGTAATGAAAGAAGAGCCCCTTACAATACCATAGCTAGACATACTGTGGGCAAGAGTGGAAGTCTTCCCAGGTTTGAGCAAAAACAACAATGCTATTCAGAGATTGATTTTGTATGACCTAGAGTAAACATATGGAAAAAATATTTAATCATAAGAAGTTGAAGGAATTAAAATATGCACTAAGGTTTTTTAATAACATATAATAAAAAAATATTCTTTAAGTTCCTATAAGCATCAGGAGTTGAGAACTTTAGTGGCAACTGGCAGTGAAGCATCATTAACATCCATTAGATCTACTGTTGATAGTACTGCACATAGTTCCCTGTACAGTAATATCAATTTACTTTGTCAATGTGTCATCAAAACAAACTGGTATTAATACAATACATTTTAAAAAGTTACAGTGAGATCTCTAATTAAAGGCCTTTATGGAGAGTAAAGTCCGTTAATACTGTACTACTAGGGTTCGTTAGATGTGAAATTCCTCCCATGTAACGGATTACGTATATGGAGGTTTCATTGTACATAAGAAATTGTCAATACTCACAACTCCAGGAGGTGGAACTTCAGTGAACTTTGGCTTAGGTGGCATGTTCAGTAGCAGTGTGTGATCTGACCTATGTTCCTGTCTATAATTGGAGATATTCGGAGTAAAACTCAGTTCTTCAAACACCTGAGTAAAACCAAGTTCTTCATACTCCAAGAGGGCAAACTGGTGAGCTTCTGTCACTGCACAGTCAACTCCTCCCATGAAGCTCATCCAGAATGCTCCAGATTTACTGTTATCAGCAGAAATCACGACATCCCACCGTTCCCCTGTGGTGAAAAAAATACCTCACTAACGACAGGTTCTGTCTCTCTTTCTGTATTTCTGTTATCATGATAAATTTAGGGTCTGAGAATCCACTACACGTATCTTCTCTGAGGTCCTTGGCCTAATCCTGACATATTCCATCCATATACTGTACTGTATTCTTTTAGATGCCAATCAACAACCTTAATTACATCATTATCTTCATGAAATCACAATAACTTCAACTACTGTACTGAACAATTATTAATGTTAATTTTCACATTTTAATAAGCAATGTACAATAACATTACTGTTTCATTATTATTGGTACTTCATCATTTTCATTTATTCCATTAAATAAATAATGGTGTTAGTTACCATAAAACAAAACTATATCACAAATACCGCAATACAAATTGGCTATAAGTGGTAACTTTTCCTCATCACTAACCTGGGTAAACAACCAGAGAAGTAGCATTAACAGGAATTATAGGATTTCCGTCAGATGCAATTATAGTAAATATGTGCTCATCAATGGACACCACAATGGGACAGTTGAGGATAGCAGGGTTGATGAGACGCAAGCGGTATCGGTTACCTGTCAGATATAAGAAATAACAGTTTAAGTCATGGTTAAATTATGAGAAATATATGGTATGTATAGGCGAGAGATGTGCCAGGAAAGAAAATTAAGCCAAAGTGCAAACACATATACTGTATATATATATATATATATATATATATATATATATATATATATATATATATATATATATATATATATATATATATATATATATATATATATATATATATATATATATATATATATTGTACTCTATATAGATATTGATGCAAATAGAATACTGTACTGGTATTCAGACAATTTTGTTCAGGTTCAGTAAAAAAAAAATATAATCACCAAATTAGTTTTCATTGTTTAAACATAAAATTTAATGACAGTTTTGAATATAATCCTGGAATAACTACAGTACATACTGTTCTGTACAGTACTTTTATAATACAGCATAGTACTGTACATAAGGTTGAGGGATTGAGGCTTTATGTGAACATTTCAATAAATGTTAGTACTAATACAGAACAATATTACAGTCTTCTCATTATAATGAAAGAATGACCTAAGAAAAAACTGTTTACAGTGTTGTTTGAAGACTATATACAGCACTTAAGATTTACATTTCCATTTTATATCCAGACCATTATTAAGACTATAACACCATTTCAAGTACAATACTGTATACCCTTACCTGGCGTCACTTTGAATCTTGTATATGGGATTAATTCAGAGATTGATGAAGCATTTGGATGCTGAAAAAAACAAAAATAATGACAATATGACTGAAACTGAGCACAGTTAATACAATGTATCAGTGCTGCTATTGGAGGTATACCTTACCTATATGTCACCTTCATTCTGTGAATGATTCCCTTGAAACATGAATACATCTGTATTAAAGTACAGTACTGTAATACAGTACAGGAACTGGACAATCAGCAATCTTTAAACATATCATACACTGTACATGGAGTTCAATTACAATAGATTTCATCACACAGACTGTCAATGCTTGTTAACACTATGTTCTTTTCTTCTTGGGTGAATACAGTATTCTATTAAGTTACTTTATTGTTATACTGTACTGTAATCCTATTTTTCAGCAAACATGCCGTACAGGGACAGCATTATGTGACTAACTACTACCTAGAGACACCAATTTATATGGCTACATCGATAGTAATCACTGGTCAAGTTACAATGAGCACTAAATCTTTGGTACACAACTGCCAGCACTTATGAATCAGTAACCCTTAGAAAAGTAGGCAATTGTATCCACTCAGCTGAAGTACCTTAAGTAATGTTAATATATAAATTTAATTCTGTTAAGATTTTCTTAGAACTGTGTGTCTGGGGATACTGACAGAAGCTCCAGAACAAGGTAACCTCACACCTGACTCCTGATTAGGGATTTTTACAGGAATAGACAACCTGTCATGCCAGTGACCTCACTGGACTTAACGCAATCCACTTCTGCTTGGTGTTGCCAATTTATAAAAAAAAAAACAATTATTTTTTTGTTTTTGCTATTTTTAAGCATTATTAAATCAATTATGTGCATTCTTCATTGAGATTAACGTTTAAAAAAGAGAATTCGAGAATTTACCTTATACAGTAGTTCGTACATTACCTTCACGACAGAGACGCCACTCTTAAGATTTTGCTTGGTTAACACCAAACGATTTTATTCACCACAGAGGGGGCCCCATACACAAGGACTCAAAAAAGACTAAATTGACTTCGAGCGTTGAAACTAAGAAGAATGCGGATGGGCCAGATAAATAACCCTTAAATAAATTAATCTTTTTATATATCACCATCCATCTGGGTTATTCAATGGCAAAATTGCCCTCAATTTTGCTGATGTCTCTAATTCCTTTCTGAGGTGTTTCTGCATCAGACCCACCACCTGTGATCACCTCCCCAAACTTCCATCCCCCACTTCCATAATCTGGCAGTAACCCTGTCATGTGAGGTCATAATAGTCACCTTACATCGACAAAGATGTAAAATAACAAAATAAATTTACTTGAGTACTGTACTCAAGTAACATTTATGGGTATCTGCTGTTTAAAAAATACTAAAAAATTTAGTACTGTACTTTTACTTTTAGTTAAGTAAAATTGAAAAAACAAAAATCTTTACTTGTCATATACCCCAAACAAACAAACAAGTTTTAATGTTTGTGGCAAATTAATAATTTATTTCTAAATTACTGTAATTAATTAATTATTAACCATAGTAAAAAAAGTTGTAAGTCGAGGGTATGGTGTGGGTGGAGCTGTGAAGGGTACAGAGTGGATGTGGGGAGACACCATGCAGTCACATATCTAGAGGTCTCTTGAGGTGAAGTGAAGTGAAGTCAGGTCAAATGGCAGTGGTCATGACAGGGAACTTTCCCTTTGCTCTCTTGTGTCCATTATCACCTTGACCACCCACCTCACCTAGCTACACTGTTATCCCCCCATCGAATCTCCTCTCTTCTCCCCCACCTTTCTATTAGATGTCAGTTGCTCTTATGAATTTCAAGGAGGCTGTGATTCTAAAATGCTTTACATAATTCCATCTTACCTATAAAGCAGGTATTCATACATATGTGTGAAACTAAGTGTATTTAAAATTCTGATTAAATAATTGAGTACCACTGGCCCGTTCACCATCCTTGCGATTGGTTGTAGGGAGAAGAGCAGCTGAGCTTATATTCAGGCCTAAGAAATCCTGATTGGACAGCCATAATTTTGAGAATCAGTTATCGATTAATCTTAATAGAAAGATTTGCAAATAGACATGTGTAATGGTATGTCTTATATTTTTATCTTTAGTTAAATTTTTTTTTATAATATATATTGTGGATTTATTTTAACATTTGAGACAAATAATAATTTTCTTGTTACTTTTTACTTTCAGCACTTAATTACTTTAAGAATGAGATACTTTTTTATTATTACTTGAGTGCATTAACATTTTGATACTTTTACTTCTACTTGAGTAACATTTTGCCAATGTAACAATACTTTTACTTAAGCAAAAAAGTCCAGTACTTTTTACAACTCTGTACATCTACCACCTCTCACTTGGCGGTTCCTTTGAAATGTTGGTAACTTGACACCGACTGACCAGTGGCAGGAGCTAATGTAGAGAAAATTACCTGCACCTGACATAGGTCACTAATCCTGGTACACCGATGACAAACAGAACATTAAGTGTTATACCACTAGCCAGGATTGTGTACAAGTTAGTCTTGACACGAGTTGACATTTAACCTGAGGTGATTTAGTCTAATGTGATGTCAGGTGAGTCTTATGTGAGAAGTGAAGTTCAACCAAACACCCAATCCTCCAATGGATACATCACTGATTTTCATATTGTCTTGAGATGCAGACAAAAATAGTGATTACATAAGACTAAAGAGCTAATACAGTTCAGCACTAACCTGCCGAGGTCCGCGACCATTCACTAACATGGAATCAGGAAAGTCGTCTCCACCGCCATGATGCCTAAGAACAAATTTATCTTCTGTAGGTATATGTAGCCAATCATGGAACTGTAGAAGGAAAATATTGTATTATGAATACAGTGCACAGTACAGTACTCATTTATTAATTGAATATAGTTACAATCTGTATCTTCACATGTTTTGTAGTTTTTATAATGGATGTACAGTCAGCAAAACGTTCTTAAACAGCTGGGCACAACATATTTCAGAATGAGCACTATGGCTCTTGTCATCTCAGAATGGTTGGTATATTTGGTTGGGAATTGACTCAATATTTTGTAATAACATACAGTATGTCGCTCATATTTATAGTGCCAATACTCACAGGTGAAAAGAAAATACAGTACATGTTGCTTATCTTTATACAGTAGCAATTACAGGTGAAAAGAAGTAATTTAATTTGCAGTCAAACTTCCTAACAGAGCAATGTTCAGATATCTCGTTTGCTTTATCATATTGTATGACGACTGTACAGTTGGTTCCACTCCTGCGTTTATCACTTAGCATTGCCAATCCTCACTCTCCCTGAGGTCTGAAACCCCGAACAAGGAGGTATGAATTCGATGCATTTGCTAGTGAGGGGGAGAACGGAGGGGTGTGTTGAAGTACTGTACAGTAATACCCAGCTTTAAGCGGCTCTCGTTTACGCGTTTCTACATTTACTCAGTACCCCGCCAGAACCGGAATTCCCACTTTACGCGGTGCATCTACTGTACTCATTTACGCGGGAAGCGGCGCTGGCAGGGAGCACACAAGGTCATCAAAACATTACCGAGTTCTTCACCCACCACCCACCACAGGCGGCCCAAGTCAGTGATAGTGATACCGGTAGTGAGGATATGGACTTATATGGACTTTGAGGGGTTTGACAAAGAGGCCCTGCAAGCCTCTGTGGTGGATGGTGATACAATTGATAAAAGTGATACAGGTGAGGGCCAATAATCTGCCCTCTGCCTCGGAACCAACCCCCCATCCCCGTGTGCCCAGCCATCTTTTCTACTAACGTAAGTGTTAAAAAACCTAATAATATTGATATTTCTCTTAATTATTAATTGTGTGTGCATACCACCATAAAATTAAGAAGTTATATTTACTACAACGTAGGTATTGTCTGAAAAAGTGGAGTTTGGGGGTCGGCCCAGTCTCTATTTCAAGTAATCCCATATGTTCTGTTGTTCACTTTACTCGTTTCCCGCTTTACGCGGGCCTCCATTGGTTCAATTGACCGCGTAAAGCGGGGTTACACTGTAGTTGTCTTTTTGTGGGGAGGAGATGGGGTACTAGAAGAGGGGTGAGGACATAAAATGTATATACAATATACTGTAGTCTGCATTCACGCGGTCAATTGAACCCGTGGAGGTCCAGGTAAAACGAGAAACACGTAAACGAAATAACAGAACATATGGGATTACAGTGACCCCTCGGTTAACGAACTCAATCCGTTCCAGAAGGTCGTTCGTTAACCGAAAAGTTCGTTAACCAAAACCATTGTTTCAATGGGTTTTTGGGTAATTGATTCCAGCTCACCAAAAATTTCCTAAATTCAACAAAAATGGTAGAAAAGTTCACTTACTTTGAGGTGTGTATGTAGAAGGCTCCTGGATGATGATGATGATGATGATGGGAATTAGAATGGGGGTGGAGGAGAAGGGAGAAGAGAAGGCATTGGGGTGGAAGAGAAGTCACCCCATGCTGCCATTTCACCCATAAAATTTTAGTTCTCTTGGTGTAATTCAAGATTATTTTCTTTAAATCAACACTGCACTGCATTATATATTGTCAATATGTAAAATAAATTTCAAAATGACCAATAATTTGCTTGCAAACACAGAAAAAAGCATTTAGTTGAAGAGTCTCAAGCAAGATGTTACCTCCACTGAAAAGACACAAAGACTGACGCCTGTATGGTGTGTTGAGAGGCTGGATGGCGTGCATAAAACTAGTTTCATTACCTTCAGTTATGTTCAATAATTGTTAAAATTACTGAAAAATTTAATCTTAAACTTTTAAAATTATTGAATAGTATAAACTTCTTGATATTTGCTAAAATGGTAAGGAATTTAAGCCCTAGAACCGATTACTGTATTGGTGGACTAATACTACAGCTGGTGGACCACCAAGTGCAAGCAAAAACTTGTTGAGGTCGGCTCGTAAGAAACTCGTTAACCGAGGGATTGCTCGTTAGCCGAAGTTAAGAATCTTATGGGAGGTAACTCGTTAACCGAAATCTCGTTAACTGAGGCGCTCGTTAACCGAGGGATCACTGTACTGTACGTGACTTTCAAGCCGGAATTTGTTCTCAGTAACCGTCTAACTGTTATGAAACGTACAGTGTTTTGAATATTGTTTCACTGATATTCCTTTATATGAAACTAATTTAAATGATACTTAATTGTTTCGAGTTTTGTACTAACCTTTTCTAGGTTAGTACATACAGTACACTAGTACCTGTACAGTAATCAAGTAAAAATTAAAAGGTACATTCCTCGGATTTGCCAACTGGATGATTGGAATCCTACAAATAAAAATGTCATATTAATCAATTACACTGTACACAACCTTTCCTAGAAATTAGTACTACTGCACATTTTGCTAACCATTTAATTCTGAAATCTAGCTCATGCAAAATTAAGCAACTTTTCACTCAGTAAACCAAGCAAACTAAACAATGAACTAAAAACAACAGAACTATTCATACCATTATCACATGTTCAGGAAGATCATGGTCATAGCAATCATGATATGGATTCCTTGACGGTGGCTGCCGCACAATGATGGGACCAAAGACACCATCACCTCTCTGAAACCCTGTTAATAGACATCATAATTATGTAGTACAGTACAATACTGTACTTAAATTATATCATCTTACTAAATCAATGGCCATTAAAAAAAAAAATTATAAATATTTATAAGCTGCCAACACCTATTTATAGAGTACCTGTATTGAGTCTTATATAGGGAGAAAGAGACAACAAAACTAAAAATAACTTATTCCATAATGTTTCGATCAGAAATATATATTTCTTGAGTATTTTAACTGATAAAATTACCAACAACATTACTTGTTCAATAATGGAAGGGCTTTGAAGTAGAGGAAAATGTGGGGTAAAAAAAAAACACTAAACAAACCATTGAAAATGTTACCTCACGTTAAAAATTTCTATAACTATAAAACGTTTACCTTGTAAATGTTTTCAGTGATTAGTATATAATGGTGTTGTTTTCGGTGCTCAGATGAAGAGGGATCCATAAACATGAAAGCGATTCTTAACATTTTTACAGGTTAGGAAAGGTTAGGTAAGGTTTTTGAGAGGTTTATTTGGTGTTCTTTTAAGTATTTTACCTCACATTTTCCTTCTACATACTTCAAAGCCCTGCCCACTTTGAACAACTAATAATATGGGCAATTTTATCAGTCAAAATACTCAAAAAAATTAAATTTCCGACAGAAACACAATAGAAATAAATTATTTTTAGCTTTGTTGTCTCTTTCTCCCTATATAAGACTCAATACAGGTACTATATAAGTAGGTGTTGGCAACTTATAAATATTAACCCCAAAATATACCACAAGATAATTATCAATATTATTTTTAATGACCAGTACAGTATGTTATATAGTACTTCCACATTTGTCTTGTTTTACCCTTTTGATGGACTAGAGGAGGAGGTATACATGAGATTCTATTCTGAAAATGTGACCTAAACTCACTCAAGCTACACGTGTCAAGTAATCCACTTAAGTTATGGATCAATCCAGCGTGTCTGTTAATGGGCCAAGCATCACATATCAGGGACAGGCTGAGATAGGATAGGTACTGATCTACCCTTATGGTCTGGGTATTTGTGAGCCAGCGGTGACATGGTTCACACAGGATATCAGTTACAGAATCAGTGGACTATCAACCTAGTATGATAACCATTCCACCAATTTTTAAATCAGGGAGGCTCAACTTGTGAATGTTTCCTGTTAATTTAAAGAAAACTCAACAAAGTAATTCTTCCTTTAAGTAACTTTTACTCCTAATACACGTACAGTATACACCGTACCCTCATCTCACTAATTTGTGTGATCAAGTGCAAACTTTTGTTTTTTTGCTTGTTAACTTTTTTGGCCCTCATCATGACTCCCAAATGCAAACCTGATGCAAGTGATAGTAGTGCATCCAAGAAAAGGAAAATAACTATGATGGAAGTGAAGCTTGATGTAATTAAACGCCCTGAAAAAGGCCAAACATCGGCGATTGGTTGGTCAATGGTCAAAACAATTTTGAAAGACAAAGAGAAATTCTTGAACATGTGAAAGGATCTACATCAATGCAGTCAACTTTGTTTAGTTAAACAAAGAAATGGATTGTTTATTGAAATGGAAAGATTGTTAGTGATATGAGTGGAAGATCAAAATCAAAGGCGTCTGCCTCTAAGTCTAACCTTGATTCAGGAAAAAGCAGGAAGCCTGCACATTGACTTGAAGGCTAAACGTGGTGGTGAAAGTGATGGGGAAGATTTTGTTGCTAGTAAGGGCTGGTTTAACTGGTTCCAGGCAAGGGTAAACTTACTTAACATTAAAGTGCAAGGTAAAGCAGCTAGCCCTAATGAAGATGCAGCTAGTGAATTTCCTGTTGCTTTAGCTAATGTAATTGAAGGAGGAGGTTATTGTATTGAGCAAGTTTTTTAATATTGATGAGACTGGTTTAATTTGGAAAAGGATGTCCGAACGCACGTACCTTTCAAAAAATGAAAAAACGGCACCAGGGCATAAAGCTGCCAAGGAGAGGCTGACCTTACTGTTAGGGGGTAATGCTGCTGGGGACTACAAACTAAAACCTTTGCTTGTCTACCAGTCAGAAAATCCTAGAGCTTTGAAGGGTGTTTTCAAGGCATCACTTCCAGCTAAATGGAAAGCTAATAAGAAGGCTTTGGTGACATTGTCCCTTTTTGAAGACTGGTACCTTAATCATTTTGTGCCTGAAGAGGAGCAGTCTTGACAATGCACCGGGCCATCCAACATTTTTAGATGATGTTAATCCAAACATTAAGGTTATGTACATACTGTACCTCCAAACACAACATGTTTTACAACCTATGGACAGGGAGTTATTGCTTCATTTAAAGCATATTACCTGAGAAGGACATCTGCTCAAGCTATCAAGGCAACAGAATGAAAAGAGGGTGGGACTTTCAAGGAATTTTGGAAGTCCTACAACATTTTGGATGCTGTAAAAAACATTGCAGATTCGTGGGCTGAGGTAAAAGAAACCAACATGAATGGTGTTTGGAAAAAACTCTGCCCATAGTTTGTCCATGATTTCAGGGGCTTTGAAGATGATGTTGGGGAAGTGACACAAACAATGGTAATAAACCTTGGAAAACAACTCCAACTTGATATTCATGTGGATGATGTTACAAGGTTGCTTGAGTATCATGCCGAAGAATTAAGCAGTGAGGACCTGATTAAGCTGGAGAAGCAAATTTTGTCAGAGGATGTAGAGAAAGCTAAAACTACAGAACCAAAGTGATCTGTTACAAAAGAAATGGCAGAAGGTTTTAGGCATATTGAAAAAGGATTGTTTAAATTTGAACAGCAAGATTCCAACAAAGCAAGATTCACCAAGGTTCATAGAGGTATTACTGAATGTCTACAATCAACCTCTGTAATATCTACAGAACCAGTCCCACAACCTTTGCAGCATCTACAGAGCAACTCCCAGCAACTCCAGAACCAGTTAATGCTACCTCACTAGAATCTCCAGAACCAATCCTGTTAACATCTATATCATCACCACCATCTTCAGCTTCGTCCCAATAAAGTCTCTGTCACTGCTACACATGCCCATCTCTACATGCAAGCCAGCCCCATGCTCCAACCTAGGTGTCGAACATTAATTTTTACCTTTTCTTTGGGTATTTTGTCATTCAATTTCATCTTTTCTCTTAAATTACAGTAAGTGATTCGAGATGTATAAAAGGACTTGGGCTATGATATAGTGCACATAGGGTATATGTTCCAACTTGCATACATTTCCAACTTACGGACGTCCTCAGGAACGGAACCCGTTCATAACCCGGGGACCCCCTGTACACTGTAGCATCATTTGTAGACACTGACTGACCTGTATGTGCATGGTAGAAGTGTGTGCCAGCATCTGGGGTATAAAAGGAATATCTGAAGGTTGCCCCAGAGTGAATGGGACACTGTGTGATAGCAGGAACACCATCCATATGAGGAGTGCCAGATTTCTTACGACCACGAGAGGAACGAGGTCCTTCCATGGTGATGCCATGCCAGTGTACAGTTAGGCCTCCACTGTACATTAAGTTTTTGACATCCACTACTACACGGTCACCTTGACACACCTGTGGGTACAACATATCAGTTGAATTATCAACAATACATTCAAGAACTATACTTAGGTTAATTCCATCAAATTATATAAATTATCAGTAAACCTAACCTGAAGTCATTCTTCTTGGTAATTCTAGTGAAAATATTTTCTCATGAGCTAAAATATTCCCATACACAGTAATTACTGCAGCGGTCCAATTGGCCTGCTGCAGTTTCCTCCACTCTTATGTTCTTATGTGTCCACTCTTCCTCGACTGTTTTGGAGAAGAGGCAAATAGTTATTCCTGGTTTTCTCAACCAGTCCACACATAGGAGTTTTTACTGTACCTGTACTGTCATGCTGAGGCATAATTTACTGGGTATATATTACTCTGGCTGTCAAAATAAGTTTTCTTTTCTTAGCAGAACACCATTAATTGTTCATTTATTTTTTCCTACTGATATTACAAATGCAGGTGAACCAACCAAAGGCTACACTAAGAGGTGTGTTATACCTATAAATAAATACATAAATAAAACTTCACATTAAAACAAAATTCTTTCCCATTATTTCTTACAAATGCATATGGACAGACCATATGAATACATTAAGATATACAGTATGATCGAAACAGCCAAACAGCTAATCAATACACCTGTACAGTATTGTATATTGTACATAAATAAGCCTATTTCTTATTTACATATTACATACAGAGAAAAAAACAAACCTCAAATACAACAGTTTGTCACTTTCACAGTTATAAGAAAAAAAAATCAAAAACAAAAGTTTCTCACTTGAATGGGTGGTCCCGGCATCTGCTTGTTGACCACCAAGATGCGCCGTTTGAAGCCATCCCCAGGAATGCACTCCGGCCGATGACAGTCCGTGGTGTTCCTCGGGCAATCGTAGCACGCCCTGGGATCACATAGATATAAAGAAAAATAGCAGAATTTATACCTTCCTTAATTTAGAAAACTTGTCAATTGCATTGACCTACTTAATAGTAAAAAATAACAAGAATTACCTTTCCTAATTTTGCAAAGGTGTTGATTAGTATACAGTATGCATCTACTGTGTTGTTTAAACACAGAAATACACATCACCAAGAAACATGAAGTCTACCTTTAATTAATATGCTCAGATATTCATACGTTAAATTTCTTCCTTTAATATGCATAATAAAATATAGTTGAGTCTGGATTTACGCGGTTTTGGTTTACGCGTTTGGTCATTTACGCGGTGCCTTGCCAGAATTGAAATGCTTGAGTTACGCGGTAAATTTGGTCATTTACGCGGAGAGCATCTGGCGGTCCAGCCGCGCCGCGCCATTTTTGGATTCAAACCTCCCGCCATGCTTGGGTAAGCGGCGCGAGTAAGGTTGCGCAGTATGTCGGTGTTGCGTTATCGGTGACGTCATATGACGTATCGGACTGTGATTGGGCCACACATCCTTACCTCCCTCCCCCGCTAGCTGTGATTGGTTTAATGTAATATGACGTGCCCTGTCACGGGAGGGAAGAAGCCAGTTGACCTAGCCGCATCAGTCGCTCTCCTTCCAGTCACTCCGTATAAACTGTGTTCTATTGTGCCCGCTAATCTCGTAAGAATGGCTTCCACTGGACCCCCACCACCACAGAAAAACCTTGCATTACCTGGACCCAGCCGCCCTAAGCCAAAGAAGATACGACGTGCCCTAAGTTACGAAGTTAAGTACAAGATTTAGAAAAAGGAACGAGACAAGTTGATTTGGCGCACCAGCATGGCGTGAACGAATCTACGATCAGGACGATCAAGAAGGATGCAGCCAAGATAAAAAAACACATGAACATCACAAAGTCTGCAGGTACTTCAACGGTGAAGTACTGCCAGAACAAGGTGCTGCTCAAGACGGAGAATTTACTTGTGAGATACTTGATTCGTCAGGCAAGACGCAACATGGCGGTGGACACGCGGCCCGTTCAAGAGTACGCACATGAACTGTACGTAGCAGTGGCACGTAAGATGGGAGTTGCAGAGCCCAAACCCTTCAATGCTTCCTCTGGGTGGTTGCAAGGGTTTAAGAAGAGGAACAAGATCACCAACATTAACATTGGTGGTGAAGGTGGTAGTGCTGACCGTGTTGCGGCGAGTGATTTTCCTCCATTCTTACGAGAAGTTATGGAGGAAGGACAGTACACCGACGACCAGGTGTTCAACATGGATGAATCCGGTCTGTTTTGGAAAAAGCTACCTTCCAAGACCTTCGTTGTCAAGGCTGCTAGCAAGTGTCTGGCCGGAAGTTGCAGAACGAGCGCATCACCGCCCTGTTTACCACCAATGCCTCCAGTACCTGTAAACTCAAGTTATCGGTGATCCACACAGCCTGCAAGCCGCACGCCTACAAGAACATGGACATGACCAAGCTAAATGTCCACTGGCTAACCGCAAGTAAGGCGTGGATGCTCACTGCTCTGTCCCTCTCCTGGTTTGACGACTGTTTCGTTCCCAACGTCAAAAAATTCTGCGAGCAACAGAATGTTCCATTCAACATTTTGTTGCTCCTTGACAACGCACCAGGACACTCGCCCCTACTGTTGGATTGTCACCCCAACATAAAAGTGGTCTTCCTTCCTCCTAACACTACGTCGTAAATCCAGCCCATGGACCAGGAGTTGATATGCAACGTTAAGGCTGCATTCTCTACAAAGAAGTTTAAGCTCCTGAACGACTGTACCAATACCAAGGATGAGTTGCGTAACCCGGGTGACACCGATAGCGATAGCCAGAGCGACGACGAGGAACAAGAGTTGGTGGATCAAGAAGTTCGCGTCAAACAGTTTTGGAAGAAATTTAATGTAAAGAAAGCTGTTGATTTCTTGGTGGAGGCATGGGAGCAGCTGTCTGTGGCAACGATTCGTCACTCATGGTGGCAGGTGTTGCAAGGTATCCCAGGTGGGAGGCAGAGTCAACCTGTGACTGGTGAGGTTCAGTCTGTTGCAGTGGCAGTGGACCTTGCAAGAGAAGCTGCGCAGAGTGTTACAGCTGCAGGTTTCTCCGAGACCACCAACGACGACATTATGGAGGTGATAAGGGATCCTGAGGTGACTGCCGACGAGATGGTAGAAGACGATGACGTCAGTGAAGATGCAGGTGGTGCGTCATCCCGAGAAGAACACAAGTTAACGCATGGTAATGTTAAGGATGCGATCAAGTTTGCAGAGAAACTCAAGCTCATCCTTTTCAACGACCCTGACAATCACCGCTATGAAGTCTTCAATAACCAGCTGTTGCAGACTATGGAGCTGTACATCCAGATGTATCACGACAACATCAACACTAGCCGTCAGCGTAACATCACGGACTTCTTCGTCCGCAACCCACCACAGCCAGCCTAAGTCAGTGACAGTGATGCTATGGACTTTGAGGAATTTGTCAGGGAGGCCCTGACAACTATGGTGGATAGTGATGGTGATTCACCTGAGGGCCAGTAATCTGCCCTCTGCCTCGGAACCAGCCCCCATCAACGTATGCCGACCCATCTCTTCTACTAACGTAAGTGTTAAACCTAACCTAACCTTGATTTTTTCTAACGTAAGTGTTAAACCTTGATTTTTTCTAACCTAACCTTAAGTAAGTGTTAAACCTTGATTTTTTTCTAAACTAACCTAACGTAAGTGCTAAACCTTGATTTTTCTTTTACCTGGTACAGTATATTATTCTCTTATTGATATTTCTCTTCTATATTATGTATGTGTGTGCGTACCATAATAAAGTTAAGATACTATTTTTACTATAACGTACGTATTGTGTCAGAAAAAGTGGAGTTTCGGGGTCGGCCCAGTCTCTATTTCAATTAATCCCATGTGTTCTGTTATTTCATTTACGCGTTTCTCGTTTTACGCAGTACTCCACGGGTTCAATTGACCGCGTAAATGGAGACCAAACTGTATTTTAATATCCATTTGGGACGATATTCTTAACTATTTTGTAATAAGCACAATTTAATTATAATGCCTGTCTGAACTTTTTGAGCTTTAGTTCAAGTCAGCAAGATATGTACTTTCTTGTATCACCTTCACTGAACCAAGGATTCTAAGAAATTCAGTTAGTTATAAAATCTATTTACGGTTAAGTTATCGTACAGGCAAACTAGTTATAATACTTCGTTTTCCCCATAAGCATTATTTACATCCAAAGACACGGGGCCAAGCAGAACTTACAGGAAAATCAAGATAACTTTAGTCTTTACTAAATTTGACTCTTTCTAAGGGCAAGTGACCGTCGTGTTCTCGTCCGCCCAGGAGAGTGCAAACAGGAATTGGAATGAAAATGCGTTCAAAGACTGGGGTTTTTTTACGCATTTCTGTAAGATTTTTCTGCCCTTCTGAAATATAATTCAAAGCCGTGGTAGTGTAGTGGATACTCTCCCCTACAACTTTCAAGCCTAGCCGCATTCCATAGCGACGGAGTTCAGCCAACCGGCGAGTTTCTCATGGGGGAAGGGGTCGCCACCTGCAACGCTTACATCCAGTCTTACTTCCGGTGGCCGAGTATATACAGTAAGCTCTCAGTCTCGCCATTGAAGGATTGAAGTTGAAAATAATCAAATTGGACATGCCTTCCAATATCACAACACTACTATGCAATTTCTTAGACAACAGAAAGGCCAAATTAATCATCAACAACCATCTAGGACAAACTTTCAACCTTCATAGTGGAGTTCCCCAAGGCAGTAATATATCGCCGACATTATACACTGTATACAAAGCAGACATGCAGCAACCACGGCAATCAGAATATATAGCATACGCAGATGATGTCACACAGATAGTCAGGTACCCAGGAAAATCCAAACAAATGATGGCCATCAGAACAAGCAGAGAAATAGAGATAATAAATAACTATGAATGTAAATGGAAGATAAAAACCAATATCCAAAAACTCAAAATAATTCACATCGCAAAAACAAACCCATACCCTATTATTATCAATAACCAACAAATACCATATGCTGCCAACGAAAAAATATTAGGACTCAAGATAACCAGAAACGGAATATTCCCCCACATCAATGAAAGAATAGCAATTGCAAAATCACAACTTACAAAGCTCAGAAGATTCCGCCAATTAAACACCAACACGCAATTGCACCTATACAAAGCACTGATCAGACCACACTTAGAATACCCTCCGATACCTCTGAACACAATCGCAAGAACAAACTTAAATTTCAAGCAGTGCAAAATATAGCCCTCAGAAGAGCCACCATACACACAAACAGCACAAGACATACACACAGAACACGGCATACACCCACTCAACACCAGAATACACACCCAAGCAAATGCAATATGGGAAAAAATCCAGCAAGAACAGGATCCCATACTAAACCAACTAATTGAGGAAAACAACAACACATCGCACAGATGGTGGCCTAGGAGCAGGAAAAATTATAACGAAGAACCAGAGCCTCTATATACACAATAAAAAAGAACCAAAAGATGGGAACAACTCTCCAGTCACACAAGGACCTGGAGGGCCCCCACAAACAAACAAGGACCTAAAAAGTTCACAAACACCCACAATAAAAAACTAGAAACGAAAAAGATGGGGATCATCCCCCCAGTGCCACAAGGACCTGAAGGAACACCCCCCCCCCTTACATAATATGCCCCAAGGAAACATCAAATAGAACAACTTAGCTTAGCTTGGCTGAGACCGGCCTTCCCTAACCGCGTGAGTCCTCTAATGCAGCACTGTTGACGGAAGACAAAAACCCCGTCTCCGCAAGGTGGATAGCCCACCTGCTGTTAACCTCCTCCTCTATTTCCCACTTCTGAACTTTACCTTGTACTGTCCCCTTCTTGCACCCTCAGAGCTAATGCTCTCTTCTCTCCGTATCACCGACCGACCTGAAGTCCATTCTACCCTACGTTCCAGAACCGGCAAGACCTCCAAACAAGCTCCTCACCAACCAACAACTCTCTAGCACTGCACTGTACATACAATATATATACAGACAACGCATTGTGAGTTTCCAATCTATCTCAGTCCTGAGTGTGAGATATCTACATGTACGTACGTATGTGAACCCATACAAAGAGAATTTGACAACTGGCCACATACAGCACGCTACAGTAGTACCTCAGAGAGAGAGACTCACCTGGACAAGGTCTGGTACGCATGGACATCAAAGTGGAAATGACAGATTCTTGTGTCTCCATAAACACATTTTCTGTTGCAGTTTCTGCCTAAAAAGAGGAAAAAAAAAGGATAGTTACATAAATACGTAGTAAGTAATAACTTATAACTTATAGTCATCCTACACACTTGATAACCATTAAATAACTTGTGTCTTGTATGATGAAAGACTTTTTTAACAGTTCTGGGATTAAATTGCTCATGTGCCAAGTTTTCACAATTAAACATTTTATTATTATTATTATTATTATTATTATTATTATTATTATTATTATTATTATTATTATTATTATTATTATTATTATTATTATTATATTTTGACATGAAAAAAAAACTGATTCAAGTCTTAAACAAAAATATCGTATTTCCCCACAATTACATGGCTTATGATTTGACATTAACGAGTGTGGTGATTGTGGTTAAAACAATGTCAGAATTACATCAATAATTGACCCTATCTTGATTCTTTCCCTGATTCAGAGTTAACAGGGGAGAAAATATTAGTTTACGATACTTTGAGTCTTGTACAGTTACTCTTTTTTTTTACAATTTTGCAATTTACATATATACATAGATAATTATAATTTTTCTTGCTACTAAACCACATACAGTATATATAATCTGACATTAGCATGATCATTGTATTCTTATCCTTATTATTACTACAGTTAATATTAAACATTAAAAAATGTAGAAATAATTTGCTATTAACATTGCAGACTGTACAGTACTTAGGATGTTTTTAAACCATTTAATTATCTCTTTGTTATGGAAGCTGAAGTAAAATATACATAATGGATATTCTACCTCACCACCCGCCTTCTTACTGACAATATCTGGCATCTGCCTCAAGGCCATACCGGCAAAAGTACTGGAATATGAACAATTATTTATTCAGTTATTTCTTTTTATTATATAACTTTTAATGCTGTAATTCTGACTTAATTCACAACGTCAAGCAGCTCTTACCAACTAATCACAACGTCAAGCAGCTCTTACCAACTAATCACAACGTCAAGCAGCTCTTACCAACTAATCACAACGTCAAGCAGCTCTTACCAACTAATCACAACGTCAAGCAGCTCTTACCAACTAATCACAACGTCAAGCAGCTCTTACCAACTAATCACAACGTCAAGCAGCTCTTACCAACTAATCACAACGTCAAGCAGCTCTTACCAACTAATCACAACGTCAAGCAGCTCTTACCAACTAATCACAACGTCAAGCAGCTCTTACCAACTAATCACAACGTCAAGCAGCTCTTACCAACTAATCACAACGTCAAGCAACCCTCACTAACCTATCATAACACGACCTCACTAGTAGATGCCAGACGTTATCAAGTATCGAGGGGATTTAGGCGTCAACAAAATAATGATCTTTCAACTGTCCTTCGGAAAATTGTATTTCAAGGATTAAGTGAGATTAGATCTGAGTTAACAGTGAACTATTTACGCTATTATTTACTTTATGTGCCAGATTCTCTTATCTTTTTACGTATATATCTAGGAAGACGTGATGCTATAGCTTACGATATGTCCAAGTGTGTGTGTGTGTGTGTGTGTTCGCACACAGGGTGGTGAAATGCGTCTAGTGTGGCAGCATTATGTTAGTGTTAAGGTGCAGGCATTGCTTGCTCCCTCTCACTATCAGCTACCACCGCTGGCTAGCCCTCATGGCGAACAGGGCAGTAGCTTGCATAAGTCTTCCCCTGCCAGTACACAGCCTCTTCATCATCAAGACTCCTCCTGTGCCTCCTCGTGGCAACACACAGTAACTGAGTGCCTCGTGGGCCCAGGCTAGACCACCAGGGGATCTTGGAGTAGCAGTGGGCCCCAGAGGGACGGCGCAAAGGCCCACTGACATGTGGACACGTTCTGGCGCCTACCAACCATTGCCCCACTGCTTTGTGGATTAACCTTGGTAGGTATAAGGCTACGGAAGTAAACTCGGAACGAAAAATCTGCTGTGGAACCCTGCATCAGGCAGACATGCTTACAGAGCTCCAACAAGACCCCAACGGCGGTGTAAGTGGAAGAGGTGACCACCATGGGAACCCAAAAACTACACTGGCGGACGAAAGCAATGCATGATCGACAGGCTACTAAGGTGAAACCCAACAAACTGGGCTATCGGCAGTCCATTGCAACTCTCCCTTTCCCCAGCCGTTGCAACACTTGCACCATTGGATCAGGAAAAGGGACAGCCAAAATGTGTGGTTGCAGCCTGCGCTCCTGCCTCACCACATAAATCAACTCATGCGCCTTCATCCAGCTCATCATTATCAAAACCGATATACCCCCAAAAGTCCTATGGCGATGGACGAATGGCGACAGGGACAGGCAGTGATGACTGCCGGCTGTCTCTAGTCACAACTCTGCACATGGGCGGCACAGATAAGATGGTCGTTTATGCACTGGGATCTAGGCAGCAATGCAATCCGGTCTTGTCTGCGCGACTGAGCAGCCCTTTCGAAGAGCCACTCTGCTCACCCCACATGGGAAGGGGGCTAGAAAAGGTGCCCTAAACATAGCCTGCCTAAAAAAAAAACCTGACTGGGCAACCTCACCCAGTAAAGTCATCCTTATGCGGTCAAAAACACAACCAAAATCACAGATCCAAACAAAAACAAACTATACAACCTCTTATGGCCACTGCATGGAATGTCAGGACCCTTCTGGATACTGGCACATATGAGTGTCCTGAAAGAAGAACTGCCCTTGTGGCAAAAGAACTGGCTAGGTATAACATCGACATAGCAGCTATCAGTGAGTCCCGGCTCTCAGACAAGGGTCAACTCACAGAACGGGGGTCTGGCTATACCTTCTTCTGGAAGAGTAAGCCTGCTGTGGAGAGAAACCTCATTTATGGAGTTGGCTTTGCCATCCGCTAACGCATCCTACACAGGCTAACTGAAATGCCTGTTGGGATCAACGAACGCCTCTTTACGCTCTGAGTCCCACTAAATCACTCACGTCATGCCTTTTTCATCAGTGCATACGCCCAACACTGGATGCAGAGGATGACATCAAGGAGGCCTTTTACGCCGACCTCGACAGTGCTAACCTCTATCCCCAGAGAAAATAAGGTTGTGCGCCTTGGTGACTTCAGTGCCAGAGTTGCTGACATTTGGCAGGGAACCATAGGGAGAAATGGACTAGGGAAGTGTAAACCCAACAGCTTACTCCTCAGCAAGTGCGCTGCACACAACCTCACTATCCCCAATGCCTTGTTTAGGCAGGCCGACAAGTTCAAGGGTTCATGGCAACACCCATGATCTAAACACTGGCATCTCATTGGCTACATCATTCTCAGAGAAAGAGATCGCCGATATGTCCTCATCACCCATGCCATGCATGGCTCAAACCACTGTGACACTGATCATCGGCTCATCAGAGCCAAGCTCTCACTTCACGTCGCCCCCAAACGGCAAAGGCAGAAAGCCTCCAGAAGAGGTTTTAACACTAAGCGTCTGGAGGATCCAGAGAGCAGCTCGAACATGGGCTGATAAACAATCCAACAACAAACAACCCAAATCCCAGTGCCGAATGGGATATTCTCGACACTGTCATGACAAAAACCTGCAGAGACCCTCGGCCAGATAGAAGGAATACACCAGGACTGGTTTGATGAAAATGACCCAGCAATCAATGTGCTCGTTGATGATAAACATGCTGCTCTAACTGACTGGCAGAACAACCCAAAGTCTCGGACCAAAGCTGATACCTTCCGCAAGAAGAAAGCGGCAGCCCAGCGGGAACTTCGCAATCTAAAGAATGACTGGTTTAAAAATAAAGCATGTGAAACACCAAAATTTGCAGATCAGCACAAGATGTGCGAATTCTTAAATTCGCAGCCCCCCTTCGCTCAGCCGACGGTAACTCCATAATTAAAGACGATGAAGGCCTCCTTCAGCGCTGGAAAGAGCACTACCATTCACTGCTCAATCGAAACACCGATGTGGATGTCCTGACTACCCAGCAGGTGCCTCAGCATCCAGAGCTGACCCACCTCAGCTACCCTCCATCCCTGGATGAGGTAGCTACTGCCATCAAACAGGCAAAAAATAACAAAGCCTCAGGGCCCAATGGAAACCCAGCTGAGGTGTATAAAGCAGGAGGACCTCTGCTTACCAGCCGTCTCCACTCTCTCCTGGAGAATATATGGGAAAAGAAGGAAATCCCCCAAGCTCTTAAAGAACAAGGGAAACCGATCAGACTGTAGCAACAACTGCAGGATCTCGCTGCTGTCCGTAGCTGGCAAGATTATCGCCTGTGTCCCCCTAAACAGACTTCTTCCTGAAGCAGAAAACTTCCTCCCAGTATCTCAGTGTGGCTTTAGGCCATCATGTGGCACCAATGACATGATCTTTGCTGCCCGTCAGATACAGGAAAAGTGCAGAGAACAATGTTGTGACCTGTACATGGCTTTCATCGACCTAACCAAGGCCTTCGACTCAGTCAACAGCGAAGCCCTCTGGTGGACCCTCAGCTGTTTTGGCTGCCCACCCAAATTCACTGCCATTGTGAGGCAACTCCACGGTGGCATGAACGGCAGTGTCCTGCACAATGGCACCCAATCTGAGTTCTTCCCCATCCAAATGGGGGTTAAACAAGGGTTTCATACTGGCACCAACTCTCTTTTCCATTTTCTTGGCTGCCTTCCTTACTTGTGCCAGCGCAAATTTAGCCGGCGGGGTGGACATCCGGTACCTGATGAAGGGTCTTTTCAACATAAGACGACTCCAGGCAAGAACAAAGGTGTCGGCAGCTTCCATTACTGAAGTTCAGTATGCAGATGACCTCACCCTTGTCACTCACACTGAACGCGACCTATAGGAGATCCTGAACACCTACACAGATGCGTATGCACACTTCGGCCTTGAGGTGAATGTAATTAAGACTCAGATTCTCTTTCAGCCTGCCCCTGGTTCAGCCACACCTCCACCATCTATCCAGCTTAACGGTACTACCCTCACTAATGTTACCCACTTTCGGTATCTCGGCTCCCACCTGTCCACCACTGAGGACATCGATGAAGAGATTCAGCATCGGATCAGATGTGCATATCAAGCCTTTGGCAGACTCCAAAACCGTGTCTTCAGCTGTAGGGAGCTGAAATTGTCTACAAAGTTACACGTATATCGAGCAGTGGTCCTCCACACCCTGCTATATAGCAAAGAGACATGGGTCTCATATAGGAGGCACTTCAAGGCACTTGAAAACTTTCACCAACATAATCTACGTTCCATCCTCCGAGTTCGCTGGGAAGACAAGAGAACAAATGCCAGTATTCTTGACGACACCAACTGTAGAAGCATCGAGGCTACCATTATCCATGAACAACTACGCTGAACTGGCCCTGTTACCCGCATGAACGACAGTAGACTGCCAAAGCAACTACTACACAGTCACCTAACGAATAGTAAACGTAATGCTGGGCGGGCAAATGAAGAGATATAGGGATAGTCTAAAGACAAACCTGAAAAGGTGCCAAATCGACCCCCTCACCTGGGAAACGATTACTCCACACCGTAACGCTTGGAGGAGCACCATTCGAGAAGGTGTCAATACTTTCGAGTTAGCCCGACTGCACAACGAGGCAGACAAGCGCCAACACCAAAAAGACGCTGCCGCCGCCCCTATCGCACTAGATGTAGCCCCCCACATATGCAACTGCTGTGATCGACCCTGCCACTTCCGTATCGGCCTCTTTAGTCACTTCAGAGCTCACCACCATAGGTGACATCCTTAATAACTCATATCATTATATCATAGCTGGACGATCGTCATACTCGATTCCGAGTGACAGCAAAGTAGTAGTAGCAGTAGTTGTGTGTGAGTGTGTGTGTGTGTTTTGTCTCCCACTGTACCAAGGAAAACCTCCATACATCAATATTTAAATCTGTCACGAGAAGGCAAGGATGACCACTCATATTTCCCTTCTGCTCTGAGATTCAGGGTGCACAGGGCGAAAGTGGGATATAGAGTACACAAGTCCCTGGCGCGCGCGCGCGCGCGCGTGTGTGTGTGTGTTTATTCCAAGCCTGCCCTCCTCTCTCTCTACCAAAGGGAAATTTCCTTCACCCCAGGCGCTGTGGTCACCGTTACCTCATGGTAGGCGGGGTTAAGAGATCTGTTGGTCCCATCTCACGCGCCCCACGTGTTCACACTACCTTAGGAAACCTGCCAGGTATTCTTAGTGTGTTAAATGTATCTTAATCTGCGTTCCTCTCGCTACCTCCAACACTTGAGGAATTTGACTACTGAACTCGTGTATTTAAAAACCATTCTTTGTGTAAAGTTAAAGTAGCTGGAATAATAATAAAATATGTACGAAGTAAAATATGAAGTTATTATATAAAACGAAATTTAAGAAAAAAAAGATGAAGACGACAAGTTAAAGAAAGACTAAAACAAAAACAAAATAACAGATTTAAGAATGCAGACTTAGTGAGTAATGAATAAATAAAATAAATTGAAAGATGCAGGTAATGATTTAAGGGAGACAAATTAGTAAACAGTAAACTTAATAGTGTTTAATAGAGTAAATTAAACATGTCAGTAATGTATGTCAGTTCTCCTTCATTATGTCAGCTGTCAGTAACCTCAATTATGTCAGCTGTCAATAACCTATCATGTCATCTCTCCTTCATTATGTCAGCTGTCAGTAGACTCAATCATGTCAGCTCTCAATATCACCATCATGTCAGCTTTCAATACCCCCATCATGTCAGCTGTCAGTGACCTCAATCATGTCAGCACTCAATACCCCCATCATGTCAGCTGTCAGTAACCACAATCATGTCGCTGTCAGTGACCTCAATCATGTCAGCACTCAAGACCCCCCATCATGTCAACTATCAGTAACCTATCACATCTCCTTCATTATGTCAGCTGTCAGTAATCGATGTCAACTCTCCTTCACATACGTCAGCACCTACCTGGCGTCAGTGGTTCGTGGGCGGTGATGACGGAGGTAAGAGTCGCGATTGCAGCGGCGAGCACAAGAGCAATCATGGTGACGGCGGCCACAGCGCTGAACTGACACGATATAGCCATGCTGACCTCTTATATACCGCACGGGGGACGCCTCCTCCCTCCAGCTGAGAGACGGGGAAAACACAAATGATTCAAAAACAGTTTACTTTGAGTGAGTGAGTGTGTGTGTGTGTGTGTGTGTGTGTGTGTGTGTGTGTGTGTGTGTGTGTGTGTGTGTGTATATTTAAGAGTGTTTGTCAAGTGTACAGGACAGGTTATGTATGTGTGTATGCATTTGTGTATTTAAGTGTGTGTGTGTGTGTGTGTGTGTGTTCATATAAACTGATATAAAATAAAAACCCACTACTGTAACAACATTTAGAATCATCAATACTTATTTAAATATTCTTAAAAAGTAAATAAGTCATCGAAATAAAAATATTATATTAATATTATTATTATAATTATTAATATTATTTTAGTGTTATTATTATTTTATTATTATTATTATTATTATTATTATTATTATTATTATTATTATTATTATTACTATTATTATTATTATTATTATCATTATTATTATTGTTATTATTATTGTTATTATCATTATTATTATTGTTATTATTATTGTTATTATTATTATTATTATTATTATTATTATTATTATTACTATTATTATTATTATTATTACTATTATTATTATTATTATTATTATTATTATTATTATTATTATTACTACTACTACTACTACTACTACTACTACTACTACTACTATCCATTAGTGGTTATATAATAGAGTGACAAACTAGAAAACTTTGGTGTTGAGAGAGGGGGGAGGGTGGTGGTGTAGAAGTATATAAAGTGTGGGCATCTTGTGAAGTCGACAACAATGGTTTGTGTTTTGTACTCAGTCGCGAGGGATTCCCTGGGCAAACTCCTCCCACCGCCTCCGCCCCTCGTCTGTCTCTCTCTCTCTCTCTCTCTCTGCTTGCGTGTATTTGTGCACGTATGTCTTCTTCTCTGTTTGCCTCTCTCTCTCTCTCTCTGCTTGCTCATCTATTTATGCCTGTCTATACATAGGTCACAACTCGTCTGTCTGTCCACTGTGTTCATGAGTTTCAAATAGAGACGCGTTTGGCGGCACACACACACACACACAGTAGATCAAATGAAGATCCATCCCAACCTAACCTAACCTAACCTAACCTAACCTAACCTAACCTAACCCCCCAGAAGGCATTAGGATGTTTAATCGTCAGGTGAAATAACCTGGGGACGGAGGGGAAACGAGGGGGGGGAGGGAAGAGGGGGAAGGGGAGAAGGGAGGGAGGAGGGCGGAAAGGGAGAAGAGGATAAAGGAGGAGGAAGGGAAGGGTGAAGGGAGGGGAGCAACTCTTCAGGTGATCCTACACAGTGAGCCGCCAGTACCACGCCCTCTACTGAAATGAAATATGACTTGGCCTTTACCAGGGAGGAGACTGATACGTAGTTCAAAGGCAGGTGAAGAAGGCGAAGCAGGTGAAGAAGACGAAGCAGGTGAAGAAGGCGAAGGGGTGAAGAAGACGAAGCAGGTGAAGAAGGCGAAGCAGGTGAAGAAGCGAAGCGGTGAAGAAGGCGAAGCAGGTGAAGAAGGCGAAGCAGGTGAAGAAGACGAAGCGGGTGAAGAAGGCGAAGCAGGTGAAGAAGACGAAGCAGGTGAAGAAGACGAAGCGGGTGAAGAAGACGAAGCGGGTGAAGAAGGCGAAGCAGGTGAAGAAGACGAAGCAGGTGAAGAAGGCGAAGCAGGTGAAGAAGGCGAAGCAGGTGAAGAAGGCGAAGCGGGTGAAGAAGACGAAGCAGGTGAAGAAGGCGAAGCAGGTGAAGAAGGCGAAGCAGGTGAAGAAGGCGAAGCAGGTGAAGAAGGCGAAGCAGGTGAAGAAGAAGGCGAAGCAGGTGAAGAAGGCGAAGCGGGTGAAGAAGACGAAAGGTGAAGAAGACGAAGCAGGTGAAGAAGGCGAAGCAGGTGAAGAAGGCGAAGCAGGTGAAGAAGGCGAAGGTGAAGAAGACGAAGCAGGTGAAGAAGACGAAGCAGGTGAAGAAGGCGAAGCGGGTGAAGAAGACGAAGCAGGTGAAGAAGGCGAAGCAGGTGAAGAAGGCGAAGCAGGTGAAGAAGACGAAGCAGGTGAAGAAGGCGAAGCAGGTGAAGAAGGCGAAGCGGGTGAAGAAGGCGAAGCGAAGCAGGTGAAGAAGGCGAAGCAGGTGAAGAAGGCGAAGCAGGTGAAGAAGGCGAAGCAGGTGAAGAAGACGAAGCAGGTGAAGAAGAAGGCGAAGTAGGTGAAGGCGAAGGGTGAAGAAGGCGAAGCAGGTGTGAAGAAGGCGAAGGGTGAAGAAGGCGAAGCAGGTGAAGAAGGCGAAGCAGGTGAAGAAGGCGAAGCAGGTGAAGAAGGCGAAGCAGGTGAAGAAGACGAAGCATGTGAAGGTGAAGTGGGTGAAGAAGATGAAGCAGGTGAAGAAGGCGAAGCAGGTGAAGAAGGCGAAGCAGGTGAAGGTGAAGCAGGTGAAGAAGATGAAGCAGGTGAAGAAGACGAAGCATGTGAAGGTGAAGCAGGCGAAGAAGGCGAAGCAGGTGACGAAGGCGAAGTGGGTGAAGAACTTGCCCGGTTAGGGGTTAAAGGGAGACTTCTTCAATGGATCGCCTCTTACCTCACCGGACGTGAAGCCCGGGTTCGCGTTGAAGGCTCTATATCTCCTGTTCAAGAAATGAACCTCGGCACCCCTCAAGGTGGAGTCCTGAGTCCCACCTTGTTTAACACTCTCATGCACTCCATTGCATCTCTCCCGTGGCCGACAGAAGTTGTCCACTCAGGATATGCCGACGATGTCCTCCAAGCCCCTGACTACCTCAGCATGCAGGAAGCCCTTGATCTGGTCTCCAGAGAGTGTGATTCACTTGGTTTCCTTCTTTCAACTGCGAAAACAAAAGCCATGTGGCACGGTCGTGTTGTACCTCCACCCCTTCTCTTATCAGGAACGGCCTTGGACTGGGTTAATGAGACAAAATACCTGGGTGTGTATGTAACTCGCACACGTTGTCAGATCCCTGAAGTCCGCTATCTTCGAGACATATGCTTTCGGCGTCTCGCTCCCCTCTCTACCATGTGCAGGGGTTCCCTTGTTGCCACCATCCCTGTACATCTCACCATGTACAAGTCCTTTGTCCGTTTCTGTGTCGACTACGCCGCCCCTGCCCTCGTCAACATTAGTCGGACTGCTATCAACCGTCTCGAAGTTATCCAGAGGAAAGCTGCTCGTATCATCCTTGAGGCTCCTCAGTGGACACGCTCTACTTCTCTATATACCGAACTTGGTCTTTCCCCCTTACAGAATCGTGTCCAGGAGTTTTACTTAAAAACTACCGTTTTCATTCTACGGGATCCTCGGGGCAACTATGTCTATGCCAACTTGACTCCTGCTGTCCGAGGCCGACCTCCATCTAGAAGACAGTGGCGAGGGTCACTCATCCGAGCCCTTCAGGAACATGACCTCTTGCCTGATATTGTTGTCACCCCTGCTGTTGGTTCGTCTCCTTCTCCCTGGCTGGATTTTCAACCCGAAGTGATTGCCCTCGGTAGGCTACCTAGTGACAGCACTAGGATCCCGCTTCCTCTAGCAAGGAATAAACTATTGAAATTGAAAATTGAATTGATAGATGGCAAGAATATCTTCTAATACAGTGGGTGGTCTCACCCAGGATAATGTAGAGTCCTCCCTTTCTACCGTTTTCTTCAACTTATGACGTCACATAATTAGCTCCTGCGCACGGGTTGACTTGGTTTAATTAGACTTTGCCCAAACCTACACTGTGCCCTTCACGGCTACGCCCACACTATACCCTCCACCAGCTTTCTTATCAGGAACGCCCTTGGACTGGGTTAATGAGACAAAATACCTGGGTGTGTATGTATGCACCTTGCGTTGTCAGATCCCCTGAGTCCGCTATCTTGAGACATATGTTTTGAGCGTCTGGCTCCCTCTCTACCAATGCAGGGTTCCTTGGTGCCAGCATCCTGTACTTCTCTCACCATCATACCCAAGTCTTTTGTCCGTTCACCATGTCGACTCACGCCCCTGCCTCGTCAACATTAGTCGGACTGCTGTCAACCGTCTCGAAGTTATCCAGAGGAAAGCTGCTCGTATCATCCTTAGGGGCTCCTCAGTGAGACACGCTCTACTTCTCCTCGAACTTGGTCTTTCCCCTTACAGGATCGTGTCCGGTTTTCTAAAAACTGCCGTTTCCATTCTACGGGATCCTAAGGGCAACTGCTCATCTACGCACCAACGACTACTGCTGTCCGAGACCGACCTCCATCTAGAAGACAGTGGCGAGGTCACTCATCCGAGCCCTTCAGAAACACGACCTCCTGCCTGATATTGTTGTCACCCTGCTGTTGGTTCGTCTCCTTCTCCCTGGCTGGATTTTCAACCTGAGTAATTGCCCTCAGTGGACCGCTCGAAATCCCAGGTGAACCCTGTTATTCTCCTGCAAATACCACCTCTCAGGATCGCTCACTGGTCCCCAGGTAGGGTCGTCCTCTACACTGATGGTTCTGTTGACCCTACAGGTAGGGCCGGGGCTGGTGTCTACATCTCCCGTCCTCATGCCCTGAGCCTGTCAAACTGTCTCTCAGAGTTTCTGGACAGGGCATCCTCCTCAGGCTGAACTAATAGCCCTCCTTGCTGCCCTTCTCGCTGAGAAGAAGCAGATGGTTTCTGCTGCCTTGTCTGCTGCGATTCAGGTCTGCTCTCGACGGGATCGCATTTGGATCTGGGGAAATAAGGACTACCATCCTCTCGAATCACGAGGGTTAACATCCACACTTCAGGATGAGCCGTCCTGTACATTCTATAGATACCTAGTCATGTCGGTATCTTGGGGAATGAGGCAGCAATGACCTTGCCAAGACTGGCTGCAACAAGGCCACACCTGACTACGTTGTTCCTCGAACACTCTTACAGATTAGGACCCAAATACCGCAAACGAGAACAGCTCAAAGCAGCCATCCTGGACTCCCCGCCCACATGATGCGATGTCCTCCGTAAACTTCCTGACTTCTCCGTCGTCTCCCGGAAAGATGTGAAGGGGCGGCATCATCATTGGGTATGACTTTGCTTAGGAGATTGGTATCACATCCCTGAGCAACGCCTTGTCATTGTGAAGACCCGACAGCCGCACCTTATCCACTACCTCCTAAGATGTCCCCCACACCAGGCCTTCCGTGACGCCTGCTGGACACCACTCCCGACCCCCTGACGGACGATGATCCTCCCAATACTGGCCAGAATTTTGTAAAAATATTAATTATGTGTTAAAGGAACATCCTTCCTTCCTTAGGCTTTAGTAAGCCCCTTTATAATATTTATACTGTATATACTTTCACACTTGCCAGATGATTCTGTATTGTCATTGTACAAGGGGTACCTAGTGACAGCACTAGGATCCCTTCCTCTATCAAGGAATAAACAATTGAAATTTGAAATTGAAAATTGAA